CTCTGCCTTAAGTGGCAGATATGACTTATGGTCTACCTCAAGATGTGGAAGTCCTATAAATAGGACTTAGAGCTGCAGTGAAAAGGACACACAACATTTTCATGCAATCTGATACTCTCAAAGCCTCACGCATCATATCATAATGATCGGTTCTCGACTTCATTCTTGTTCGCCTGGACTCTGAAGGCTGGTGTGCTACAGCTTCCGAGTGTTAAAGCCGTTGTATCTTTGGGGGCATTACGCACTGACCCGTTAGCACTACACGGGGTGTATTTGTCTTGCGGATATATTTCAATCGCCTCGGCTTAAATCTCTCCACATTCTGGTTGTAATTTCATTTTTTTTTTAGTTCTTTTGTACGAACTGAACACTTCAGTCAATTCATAGGTCCCGTTGTAATCCAAAACACACATTTTGTGTAACTCGCAAGACAAATAATCGACACCTACTGAACTGATGACATCCACTGGAGAAGGATAAAAAAATCCACCACCTGTCACTCCCGCTATTCATGTTCCCCAACCTGCTGTTCATGTTCCCACTGCTGAGAAGCCCGAAAAATTCAACGGGCTTGATTTCAAGAGGTGGCAACAGAAGATGCACTTCTACCAGACCACTTTGGGTTTGGTAAAGTACCTGAAAGACGACCCTCCTGTCGTGGCTGAAAATGAATCGAATGCTGAGCTACGAGCAGCATACGATGCTTGGGGGCAAGGTCATTACCTATGCCGGAACTATGTCCTCAACGGACTGAGTAACGAGTTGTACAATGTGTATAGCTCGGTTGGTTCTGCCAAGGAACTGTGGGCTGCCTTGGAGAAGAAATACAAAACTGAGGATGCCGGGGCGAAGAAATTCGTCGTCGGCAAATTCCTGGAATTCAAGATGGTCGACACTAAGACCGTCGTGTCTCAAGTGCAAGAGTTCCAACTCATCTTGCACGACATTCATGCTGAAGGGATGTCTCTGAGCGAGTCATTCCAAGTTGCGGTTGTAATTGAGAAACTGCCGCCGGGTTGGAAAGATTTCAAGAACTACCTCAAGCACAAGAGGAAAGAGATGAGTCTTGAAGACCTGGTTGTTTGTCTTTGCATTGAAGAGGACAATCGGAAGTCTTCGGGGAAGGCCCAGATGATGGAAGCTCGTGCAAACTTGCTGGAGCAAGGGAACTCGAGCAAAAGGAAGCCCCTTATCAAGGGGAAACAACAGCCTGCCAAAGTCTGGAAATTTACCGGCAATTGCCATAACTGTGGAAAGCCAAATCATATGGCAAAAGACTGCAGGAAGCCCAAAAAGACTGGTCTGAAGAAGGCACCAAATAGTGCCCTCGTTGTTGAACACGGCCATGTGCCGGGTGAATTAACCGACATGGACATGTCGGCTGTGATGTTTGAAGCCAATATGGTGGATAACCTAAGGGCGTGGTACATTGATACTGGTGCCACTCGCCACGTATGTTTCGACAAGGGGTTATTTTCTGGCTACACTCCTACAACTGGTCGGAAGCTCCACATGGGAAACTCCTTTTCGTCTGATGTGGCTGGAGTTGGCATCGTGGTGCTGAAGCTGACTTCTGGAAAAGAGTTGAAGCTGGAGGATGTGCTGCATGTCCCAGACATCCGCAAGAATTTGGTCTCCGGTTCTCTTCTTGTTGAACATGGTTTTAAGCTTGTATTTGAAGCTAAGAAGTTTATTCTTAGCAAGTATGGTAGGTTCCTTGGTCGTGGCTATCTCGACAATGGTTTATTTAAAATGAATGTAATGGCTGTGAGCCGTGTAACCGTTTCTGCTGATAATAAAAATCGTACTTTTGTTTATATCGGAGTGCTCTGATTTATGGCATATTAGATTAGGACATGTGAAATTTGTGTTGAAGCCAAAATGGCTAAATTACCTTTTCACTCGATGGAAAGAAATACTGAACCGTTGGGTTTAATCCATACTGATGTATGTGACTTAAGTTTGTGCAAACAAGAACGGGTAAAAGATATTTTATAACTTTTATTGGTGATTGCACAAGGTTTTGATACTTATATCTTTTAAGAAGCAAAGACGAGGCTGTGGAAGCTTTTAAAAATTTTAAGACCGAAGTTGAAAATCCACTCGGAAAAACAATTAAAATAATCCAAAGTGATAGGGGTGAGGAGTATGTAGCTCTTTTTTAAAAAATATGTTCTGAACATGGCATAATTCATCAAACTACGGCCCCTTATTCTCCACAGTCAAACGGTATTGCTGAACGCAAAAACCGAACTTTAAAAGAAATGACGAATGCCA